AAAATGCATCATGGCTAAACGTCACTTAACACCAGGAACTTGCTAAATATTACTACTACTAATAATAATTATACTATACATTATTAATACTTCCAGGGTGTCGAATGAGGTCATTAGAGGGACAACACAGATAGGAAGGTTTGGAGAAAAAGCTAGAGAAGCCAGATTGAGATGGTTTGGACATGTGCAGAGGAGGGACAGAGGGACATTGGTAGAAGAATGTTAGAAATGGAGCTACCAGGTAGGAGACAAAGAGGAAGGCCAAAGAGGAGATATATGGATGCAGTGAGGGAGGACATGCAGATAGTTGGAGTCAGAGTAGAAGATGCAGAGAACAGGGAGAAATGGAAAACAATGATACACTGTGGCAAACCCTGGAAGAGACAAAGCCGAAAGGAAAAGAAGACACTGATGTGTCATTGCTGTAAGTCTGCAGACAAATTTACCTATGAAATAAAATGTATATTATTATTATTATTATCATACCATGCAGCTTATATGTTTTCACAGGGACGGGCAACAAGACACGCATCATTGATATTACCAAGGTAGCTCTCGGAACCATTGTGTGTTCAGCCTTGATTTGCATACATACATTCTCTGGGTGTGACTCCACAAGTGCCTTTTATGGTAAATGCAAAAGAAAGACATTTTCTGTAGCATGTGAGAAACCTTAAGAATACCTCAAGGCTTTTAAAAATCTGGGTGCTAACTTCAACTTGGACCACTCAACATTTGCACTACTTTGCAAATATGTATGCCATCTGTATGATCAGCCAGCTACTGAAAATGTCAAGACTTTCTGTATGGCATCATCAGCCTTGCCAGAATTGTCTATTCCCCCTACAAGTGATGCTCTCCATCAGCACTGCAAAAGGGCAAATTATCAGGTTGCAGTCATGAGGTCCCGTGTCAAACAAAATATAGGTGCTCCATCACCTGCTGGATACGGTTGGCACCTAGAAGATGGAAACCTACATGTCACATGGATGACAAGAAATCCGGCCCCTGACAGTGTTTTACATGTCATACACTGCAGCTGCAAGGAGAGTGATTGTGAGACAGGTAGGTGTTCCTGTTTCTCTGTAGGACTCTGTTGTACAGACCTGTGTAGGTGTTGCAACTGTGCAAACATAAAGGAAATTAAGGAGAAGGGGGATGACTGCCCTGACACTGGCAGTGAAGACTAACATGTCATGTGTAGCCTATTGCCTCAGAGTTGTATTGCAGTGGTTGCATTGTTAACATTACCATTCATTTTATTATGCTGTTTTGTTTTATATATTGTACATACTGTATGTATTTTTGTTATTTAATAAAGATTTTTTTATGATTGATCAGTGTTGTATTTAGTTAGTAGCAAATAAATAAACGAATGAATAAACAAATGGTCATTGTCATTGATTACTTCCTTTTTTTGATCAAAATGACTTAACATAGAAAGTTCACATTAATGTCTTTTTGCCTCATTGTTCTTTGTGCAGGCAGCTACAGTATGTCACAGAAGTGAGTACACCCCTCACATTTCTGCAGAGATTTCATTTTAATGTTTAATTGAACAACACTGAAGAAACATCGCTTGGCCAGTCCATCACCTTTACCCTTAGCCCCTTTAGAAAAGCCGTGGTCATCTTAGAGGTGTGTTTGGGGTCATTGTCATGCTGGAACACTGCCCTGCGACCCAGTTTTTACGGAGGGAGGGTATCATTCTGTGCTCCAGTATTTCACAGTACATGCTTGAGTTCATGTTTCCCTCAATGAAATGCAACTCCCCAACTCCAGCTGCACT